GATAGATAGATAGATAGATAGATAGATAGATAGATAGATAGATAGATGCAAAGAAAGAGAAGGAAGGGAAGGGAAGGGAAGGAAGGAAGGAAGGAAGGAAGGAAGGAAGGAAGGAATCCCTTTGGGGTGGGATCCGTTGAGGACAGCCCCTATTCCTGTTGCGGGCATGCGAAGATTCACTTCTTAGGAGTGCAAAGCTCAGCCTTGCCCGGTGCAGCTTCCTCTCTCTCTGCCCCTCTCTGCCCTCTTGCCCACCCCAAGGAGAGAGGCTGAGCAAGGACAGTGGCCTCTGGGCCTCTGCCAGCTGGACCCGTTCCGAGCATCCGTCCGTGCCAAGAATTTCTGTCCTGGCTCTTAATAAGCCGCCAAGATCCTGCGGTGTTTCTGCTGACGACTTTGACTCGTCACCCGAGTGATTAGATATTCCTGTGGAAAGTCAGACTTTGCCCCTCTGCCAGTCCTTTGCCCGACGGGCCAGTCCAGCGAGTGGCAAAGGCCAAGTGGTTCATGCCGGTCTCTGGGCATTGGTAGATTTCTCTTTGTCTCTTGCTAGCTGGTAGGGAGGGAGAAAGGGAGAGAGAGAGAGAGAGAAAGAAAGAGAGAGAGAGATACAGATATGTGATAAAGATGAGAGAGAGATACAGAGACAGACAGATAGATAGACAGAGAGAAAGAGAGAGAGAAACAGAGACAGATATGTGATAAAGATGATAGATGATAGCGAGATACAGAGAGAGAAACAGACAGGTGATAAAGACGATAGACTAGAGAGGGAGAGAAATAGAGACAGAGAAACAGGTGATAAAAATAGATTTTATATATATATATATTGTCTGAAGGTTGCCTTTTCCACAAACTGTGTCTTTTTCTTTCTCCGCAGAATTCAAAAACGGTACAAGGTCTGACTGGTCTCCGAAACCTCGGTAACACCGTAAGTCCTTCCTTCCTTCCCCCCCCCTCCCTCCCTCCATCTTTCCTTTCTTCTTCCCTCTCTCCCTCCCTCCATTCGTCCCTCTTCCTTCCTTTCTTCCCTCCCACCCTTCATCGTCCTCTCTTCCTTTTTTCCTTCCTTCCTTCCTTCTTTCCTTCCGTCTTTCCTTCCTTCCTTCCATCCCTTCCCCCTCCCTCCCTTCATCACTTTTCCTTTTTCCCTTCTTTCCTTCCTTCCCTCCCCCCTCCCTCCCTTCATCACTTTTCCTTTTTTCCTTCCTTCCTTCCTTCTTTCCTTCCTTCCTTCCTTCCCTCCCCCCTCCCTCCCTTCATCACTTTTCCTTCCTTCCTTCTTTCCTGTCTTCCTGCCTTCTTTCCTCTCTCCCTTCCTCTGTTCATCACTCTTCCTTCCATCTTTCCTTCCTTCCTTCCTTCCTTCCTTCCCTCCTTCATAACGCCTTGTGGAAAACCCTAGTGAGATCTTAGCCACGATAGACCAACATGGTTCTCCTTCTACCATTCTTGCTGAGGTCCATTCCTTGCATGGGGGGGGGGCGCCTCTCACCTTGCCTCATTCCCCCCGGAGCCCCCCCTCACCCCCCACCCAGGGTGGCTTGTTCAGCTGTGCCCAGAATTGCAGCCCAGCCCTCCAACCTGGGCCGGTTGGTTCTGGTTGAGGAAGCCAAGATGCTTCCGCTTGCTCTTTTACCTCACTTCCGCTTCTCGGATGACTCTGCGGGGAGTTTTGTTCTCACTTGCGCAGAGGGGAGCCCCCAAAGAGTTGTGTAACTCTTTCGGAAAATAGTGTCACCCTGCCACACCCAGATGTGAGAACTCGAAGGCAAAGAAGGAGATACAAGCACCCTTTTGCCTGCTCCCTAAACCCTCCCTTAAGGGCTACATCGGAAGGGTCAGCCTCATTTTCTGTCATTTTGAGCTAAGAAGATTTGCTGTGAATTGTCCCTGCTCAGAGTAGGTTCCATAGCAGGCCAGATCGGGGCAGCCAAGAGAGATTAGCCATGCATGGTTTGTGGCAGGAAAAAAGCTCCCTGTCCTTTCATCCATCTGTCTCTCCTTCCTTCTTGTTGGGGTGGAGATGGGAGGGGAGAGGAGGGTGGAGAGAAAAGGGAAGGGAAGGGAAGGGAAGGAAGAAAAAAGGGAGGAGAGGAAAGGAAGAAAAGAGGGAGAAAAGGAAAGGGAGGGAAGAAAAGAGGGAGGAGAGGAAAAAAAGAAAAGAGGGAGAAAGGAAAGGGAGGGAAGAAAAGAGGGAGGAAAGGAGAGGAGGAA